CTGCATCTTTGGCTCTATTGTAGTCATACTACTTTACAATGAACAAAGAACTCTTTCATATAGCATCACGCTTACAGCATATGTAAAACATAAAGGTGCCTGTGCCTCTAAACTTTACAATGAAACGTGGGGTCTTTAATAGAACCGTATTGCTCGGCGGGGTGAAAGCGATCTTGTGTCAAACTATGAAGTCCATCGTGGCCAATCCCAGATTTCGCAATGTCGCTACCAGCCAAACTGGATCTGGGGGTCGACCTCTTCGTTGTAAGGAGGCTTTTGGCCTCAGATTTATTTAAAGGGAGTATGTCGGAGAGTGATACCCCTAGTGTGTGACAAAAGGAACAAGAATGATAACGATATGAGGATAAATATACTGACTACGCTGATAAAGAGAAACGTGCCAACAAACGTTGAGCGCGGGTGATAACATGGACATGATGAAAGTGTTGGTTATTGAAAACCTTCAACCAATAAAGTTGCCACATGGCTAAAAGGTAACAGGAAGTGATGGCGAGAAGTTTGGAAAAGGAGACAGTAGAGCGAGAGCAAGTGAGATGCTTGAGGAATCGAAGAAGAGACGCAGCATGGTATGGGCCGTGGAATTGATCATCCCATAGGTTCATCCAAATCAGCCGTCGGTGAGGACAAAGGACTAGAAAATGATCCAAAGTATCATCGGCAACATGACAAAGTTGGCAGTGAAGGGAGTCGCTATGGTGTATACCATAATGTGCTAAACGAGTGGCGGTGGGGATGGTGTTGTGGATGATTCGATACCAGACATTGCGGGCAGAGTGTTCCATAGGTGACGACCAAAAGATCTTCCATGTCTTGCGTGGGATGGATGGTATGAGCGGTGTTGAAGGTTGACAAATTGATCGGTAGCGACGAGTCGTCCAAGACTTGAGATCAAAATAGGCATCCATGAAAGACGTAATAGGTGAGGCATCCATCCGTGTGGGTGAGAGAATGGATGAGGAAGGATATGGCTCAGCGGAGAAAAAGCGTTGGAAAAAGTGATGGAAGTGGATGTGTTGTTGGGATACGGCATGTAGGAGGGACTTGGCAAGGCACTTATGGCGAGTTTGTAATGGAATTCGGGTCATCGGTCTCCAAAGGATGAAGCCAGCAGACGGATTCAGATAAAAGATATCATGAACCTTGAGGTGACGAAAACGACTTTGCTTCAACTTGTGACCAGGGGAGTCATACCATATACAATTGAGAGGTAGCTGCAGGACAACGGATACATCAAAGGAAAGAGAACTAATATCCAAAGACATTAAATCCATAGCCTTGAAGAATAGCGACGAGACACTGTTGGTAACTTCACCTATGGACTTGCGGCAAGAAGACAAAAGCAAAGGAAATCGATGATCAGGCATGGATGGATGTGCATGGCGTAAATGATGGGCTAAGGCGAGTGTTGTGTAGTTCCAGTCTGATGAGGGATGAAAAAGAGGATCCAGCCAACGTAATTGGAGAGCACCTTGCTGTTTCTCAGGATCCAAAATACCAAGTCCTCCGAATTCCAATGGTTGACAAAGCTTTTGTAAGCTCACACGAGGAAACATCTTGTGCATTAAAAATCCACCCATACAGGCCCGTAGAGACCGAAAGAAAGATGAAGGAGCACCGACAAGCCTGAGCGTGTGCCATATTGTTGACAAGATCAGCATATTGAGTATGGTGGCTCTACCCCGAACAGACAATTGACGATCAGAAAAATCATGACATAGTGAACGCACAGAGGAAAGCAACTTATCCAGATAAACATCTAGCTGACGTTTAGATGAAGCTAAAGGATAGCCCAAATAAACCACTGCTGATGACCAAGTTCGATCGTGACATGTGGGGAATCCAGCCTGTTCCAAAGTCTGATTCCATTCTGGTTGTGGTTGACCGCTCAACGAAATGGCTTGAGATTTGTGTGCATTCAATTTGGCGTTTGAAGAAAGCTGATACCGGTTGAGATGGAGCTGAAGGCGTGCGAGATCTTGTGGATTGGAAAGAAAGACCATAATATCATCCGCATAAGCTTGACACTTGAGAGCTGGCAAAGAAGGCAATGGCATTGAGTCTTGTGGGGCAGTATTCAACTGGACACCTTGAAAGGAATCATCATCCATGATAGCACGGAGGAGAGGCTCAATTGCCAGGTTGAATAGGATGGGAGAAATCGGGTCGCCTTGTCGCAGACCACGTTGTTGCGTAAAAGCAGGTGAGAGATGCCCATTAATATTGATTCGAATGCGGGTAGAGAAGAACAAATTGTTGACAGCATTGATGAAATCATCCGGGATACCAAACTTGGAGAGAACTTGACGCAAATAAGATGGGTGAATCCGGTCGTAGGCTTTCTCCTGATCGAGAAGCAATGCTATAGAAGAGGACGAATCGTGACCATTTGCCTGCTCCATCGCTAACTTGGCCAACATACCGTTATCGGCTATGAATCGGTCTGGCATGAATCCGGTTTGAAATGGATTAATCAAGGAGCCCGCAGCTTGGACCAGACGCGCATTCAATAGCCGGGTAAAGATTTTTGCATCGGTGTTGATTAAAGAAATCGGGCGCCAATTACGCAGGGATTGGAGGTCTCCTTTCTTTGGCAACAAGGTGACACACGTGTCCTTCCATGAAGATGGGTATATGCCTTGCTGAAGAGCCATATTGAAAACCGCACAAGCAAGAGAATGATAACTAGGGTGCTTGAAAACCAAAAACCAAGTAGAGTAGGGAAGACCATCGGGTCCAGGGCTGCTCTGCTTTGGTGCTCTTTTAGCGCCATCTTGCAAATCGTCAATAGTAAAATCCATCATCAAATCATTCTGCCAACTGGATGATAAACATGGAAGAGTGCTGGAAACAAGCAAGGCATCCAAGGCATGGTCATCGATTGTTGTGGGCGTGTACAACTCTTGGTAAAAAGTGGTTGCGGCATCATGGAGGTCATTGATTTCTGAGCACGTGGCACCTGTAGATGGATGAACAAAAGAGGTGATCATACGGCTAGATTTCGCTTGAGTTGCATTCTTTTTTAAATACCCTGCTGCCTTCTCTCCTTTTTCACGCCATCGTTGACGAGCTTTCAAAGCTAAGATGTCGACCGTTTCTTGTTGTAGATTGCTGATTTGTTGCTCGACTCTTGGAAGAAACTGAGCAAGAACGTTGGGCGGTGGTTTGGAACGGAGGAGACGATTGCGCTTGGACATTAATGCTTTTAGTTGTTGTTGACGCCATTGAGTGCGCTGACGACCAAATTGTTGAGTGAAGCGACGCAAAGCCGATTTAAGGTGTTCCCAACGTTGTTGAAGAGAATCAATCGTGTCAAGAGTTGGCCATAAGTTGTTGAGCATCATTACAAGTTCTTGTCGAAATTCAGGAATATAGGAAAAATTGGGGTTGCCACGCCAATATCCTTTTCCAGTGCTTGGTGATCCAAGTTGAATGCGTGCGGAGAGGAGAGCATGATCGGTCCATGTTCTTGAGACAAATTCAACGTCCCCATGTAGGATAAAGCTATGAAAAGATCGTGAGGCGAAAATAAAATCCAATGTAGAATGAAAAGACACACCGGTACGATATGTTGGAAGAGATAAGGATGATGAAGTATCGGTGATGCAATCGACAAAGTTGAGCTGTAATTGTGAAACCCATCGATGAGAGATGCGATCACGTGTTGATTGTTGTTGATAGACGTTGAAGTTGAAGTCTCCAGTGATGATGAGCCGATCAGTATAGTGAGGATCAATCGATGTGAAAATCGGTGAATCCAAAAGTGCTGTGTAAAACAATCGACGTTGTGTTGTACTTGATGCTGGTGCATATAAGGTGAGTAGAAAGAATGATGCAAAAGTCTGATTGTGTGATGAGACTTTGGTGAAGATAAAACGTTTGTTGAAATCGCTGTTGTTGAGATCGATTGATATACGTTGAAATGATAAGTCGGAATCGAGTGATACGATGCCGCAGTGATGTGACCAAAGAGATTGTTGAGATCGAAATAGCATGTTGAATGTTGTTGTTGTGTCGTGATCGATGGCGTTGGTTTCTTGTAGAGTGATGATATGAGGTGATGAAGGATGTTGCCGGAGATATCGGATGAGAGAGTCCCTGGCTGATGTATTGGTGATTTTTCGTAAGCTGTTGCAATTGAGAGATGATAGATTCAGTATGTTGTCTTTAATCATGATTAAATTATTGATACGTAAGATTGGGGTCCTGATGCTGCTCAGGACCCAAAGCGTTACCATGTGCATTGTTCATAAGCCGTGATGTGTGTTGACCAGAAATCCATAGCCCTTGCATGTGTTCAATGAGCTTTGGGGCTTGCTCGAACATAAGGTGAATCATGAGACGTTGTTTTTCAATGGTGAATTTTGAGATGTCCTCTTTGGCAATATCAGAGGCGTGTAGGTGATCATACCAATGGCGGGGCACTTTGATAGACAGCTCCTTCGAAAGAACCTCTGGGTGGTCATCCACGTATTGGTCGAATGTGGTCAAAAATTGATCGGTTGCTTCTTCTAGTTCTTGATTCGGTTCATCCGTATCCATGCCGTCGGTATCCGAGGGCTCTTCACCTTCACTGTCAGCGGCATCTTGTTCGGCAAGATCATCCCAATCCACAGACTCGGTAGGCAAATCCTTGGCATGTTGAGAGGCTGGTGGTGATGATGTTGTGATACGTATAGGAGAAGCTGGTGGCACTTTGTCGGAAGGAGTAGGTGTGGTGTCCTTCTCAGGTGTCACAGGTAATGCATCATGTGTTGTAGCATTGGTGACAGGAGGTTGAGCACGAGTCTTTCTTTTCTTTTTTGTTGTGGCACCACGAACAGAATTGGAACGTGTTGGACACTCGGCAGCAATATGTCCATTTTCCCCACACGCATAACATGGTCGATGTTTTTGTGGGTTGTCGGGACACAGGCGTACATGGTGTCCTGGTTGATGACATCTGGCACAGTGTAGCTCCATTTCTTTCCAAGTAGCGTAGAAAAAATCATTGGTGTTACACCAGCTGATAGTGTGAGAGAGAGAGGACCACGAGGTTGAATCATCAGCTGTTGGTGTACGATCCAAAACAGCAAAACCTTCTCCCATAAACATTTGTGAACGTGTTTCACGATAGATCCCACAGTCGAGTACTCTTCCAAATGAGCGAAGACTCATTTTGAGGCCTTCCACAAGGGCAGGGATAGGCATTCGAGGGAGAGATGTCAGCCGAATACGCGCAATATCCACGTCAGAGCTCATAGCACGGCAAGGGATGATACGCATGCCATCGTCAAAAAGAACGCCTTGCTGGAGTGCTGTTTCAATCTCGGCTGCAGTAGCAAGATACAATTCAACAAGAACCCTAGGGCCTGTTTTATGGGTATCACCACCACAGTTGTTAGGATACGCCTTGCTGATCAAAGCCAATACATCATGCAACCGTTCGCCACGGCTGCTAACGTCAAAGAAAATGCTTGAAACCGAAGCTGGGGATCCACCACCACGAAACACATTGGTGTTTACAATGCGTTCAGCTTTTGTCGTATCCGAGTTAGACGTTACTGTCTTGGTCGTCACCTCATGGTGCATGAGCGATTCACGATTGCGACTTGCAACCTTTGCATAAGTCATTCGCAATGGGAGGGTTACAGGTGTTGTAGGGCCTGTTTCCTTATCAGGCAAATTGGTCGAATTCGGGGAAGACATGGGGGTGTCGACCTCTTCGACGACGACGACCAAAAAATATTTTTTGGGCTAGTTGCGACATTGAACGTGAAACTTTCACACAAGTTGCTGTTGGCCAAGCCGAGCCCATTGCTCTATTCAAAAACCCACGTTCGATTGTAAAGTTTGGAGATACAGGCACCTTTATGTTTGTAAGCGTGATGCTATATGAAGAGTGGTCTTCGTTCATTGTCAAGTAGGTGGACCCTGGCAGAGCAAAAGATGCAGAGGATCGTGTTGTGTAACACAGCTACTTTGCATGAATGAAAGGGTCAATGTATAATTACTTTATGGATCATCTAGGAACAGGCATGTATTGCTAGCTAACGGCCACCTTTATCCAATCATTATTATTGCGAGATCCACTGCATGGGAACGATGCCCCTGCTCTAGACATTCATTTCCATGATTAAAGTAGGTTGATCCGAGCTGATTTGACTAAGCTACAGTCAAAGAGAGATTACATCACTCTGGACATAGAGCATGCTCGATGTAGCTCAACCGATGTAATCTTGTGTGAGCGTAGCTCAACCAAATCAGCTCGGATCAACCTACTTTAAGCATGGAAATGAATGTCTAGAGCAGGAGCATCGTCCACCTACAATAGAATGCACAAAAGTTGGTAATGCACAAAAGTGGCTATTAGCTGCCAATGTATGACCTGAAAATGACGTTTGCGTACCTGTCATGCATCGTCCCTGAGGTCCTGACTTTTTAGCTCAGCTACACAAAGAGGTCCTTCTGCATCTTTGGCTCTCCAAGGTCTAGATACTTTACATTAAACAAAGACCACTTGTCATAGAGCATCACGCTTACAAACATAAAGGTGCCTGTATCTCCAAACTTTACAATCGAACGTGGGGTTTTGAATAGAGCAATGGGCTCGGCTTGGCCAACAGCAACTTGTGTGAAAGTTTCACGTTCAATGTCGCAACTAGCCCAAAAAATATTTTTTGGTCGTCGTCGTCGAAGAGGTCGACCCCCAGATCTTTTTTTTTTGTGTAAACGGTGTTTATTATGCGCCGCAGGTGCAACGCAAATGAAAAAAGCTATAAGAATGAAGTCCCTAGGACCAAAAGTAAAAGATAGGCTGGCACTCACGTGCCATCCACGCTTTCATCATCTAAATTAAGTCACCATATCATCCGTTTCACATTTTGTGGACGAAATGTCAGGCTGCTTGTCATTAGGTGGAGGGCATTGCTGGTTTGGTGGTGAGGTAGAAGTTGTAGCCGGAGCGCTACTGTTATCCGTTACAGGGATTGGGGTGAAGTTCAAAGGAGGTGAATGGGATGGAGAAAAGTTTCGTTGGCGTTTGCTATTGGTTCGATATGTAAAGCTTGCTGTGGTGGTATCTTGATTAAGGTTTGCTTGATCCGATGTAGTGGATTCAGGGGCAGGTGTCTTTCCTTGTTTAATAGGGCAATCTTTGCGAACATGGCCGAGTTCTTGGCAGAAGTGACAGCGTGGTTGAGGTTTTTGGGTACATTGAAGGCGAGTGTGTCCCGAGCAATGGCAGTAGCGACAATACAATGGCATCTTGGACCAGGTGGCGAACATACGAGATGGGTACGACCCATCATTGCGTGATACAGTAACAGAGTGGACTAGTTGTTGAGGTGGTACATGGAAAACGTTGTTTTTGGTTTCGTGTTTGGGATTGGTGTTGATGTAGGCGTAACCTTTGCCAGTGAAAAAATCTTGTTCGAGGTATATGCCGAGTTCAAGTAGTTGTCCAAAAGGTTTGAGAGCTGCAGGGATTGACGAGGAGAGAATTGATCTTGTATACAGAGGGATATGGGTGAGGTTAATTTTGACGACGTCCCATTCATCTGGGATGGGATGAGAGCCGAAAATTTTGGATCCATCATCAAGGGTTACAGGTTGTTGTATGAGTTTGTCAGCGATAGCTTGGGTTTCGAAGGCAACTTCAGCAATGGCATAGGATCGAGTGCGATGCACGACTATACCATGTGCACCTTGTTTTAATGGTGATTGTCCAACAGCTCGCCGGAATTCGGTGTCTGTTATTTGTAAACGGGATATATCAAAAAGTAGAGAATGGGGATTTTCGGCACGTCTCCATACTTGGCGACTATGCTTACTTTGCGAGAAGAGAACTACAGGTTCCCGATGGATGGTGGCGAGGGAGGCGTACGATATGGGTTTATCGTGGGATGGTTTCCCATCCACTGATTTTTTAGGTTTACGGGGAAGAGCCATGTCGACCCCCAGATCCAGTTTGGCTGGTGGCGACATTGCGAAATCTGGGATTGGCCACCATGGACTTCATTGTTTGACACAAGATCGCTTTCACCCCGCCGAGCAACATGGTTCTATTAAAGACCCCACGTTTGATTGTAAAGTTTAGAGATAGAGACACCTTTATGTTTTCCATATGCTGTAAGCGTGATGGGGTTGCTTTTCCCTAGTGGATGGTGTCGGCTGCATTAACGGAAAGATGAAGAGCTGAGTGAAATGGCACGTGGTGGGTTACACAAGCACGTCCTTGACAGGTTGCTGCACACATGGATGATCATGATGATTGCCTTTTGTGAAGGTACGTAAGTGAAACAACATCGAACCATGAAGGTGTGTCAAGGTATATGTACGACAATAATGGTTCCATATCACATTTGCATGTGGGAGAAGGTCGAGCTGCATAAACCAATTTGTATATGTAAAAAGATGCATATACATATTGAATGAGTCACTCATCCTGAAACTCAATGGAGGGATCTCTTCACTTTTTCTCTTCTCAAGGCCATCCCACTCCTCATTATGTATTGTATCACAAAAGCCATATACTTCTTGCATGACCGATAACCGGACCACCTTTATTATTCCATCTTCGAACCAACAGTATGTAATCCACAAGCTAGCAACCTCCAACAAGCGTGTAATAAATAAACAATGCTTTATTTCATCTAGCTACCTTGCTACTGTACATTGCCACCACCATCGTCGTAGTCGTCCTCCGTCATCATTCCTACTCGTACTCGTCACCAGTCCTCAATCTCATCCGTCACACCAACATCCAATTTGAATCTCGTTGACGTTATGATTGTCATTGTTGTAGATGGGGTGATCATCATAATCGTCGTCTCTACAAATAAGAAAGCAGGCAAGTTGGACCATCTGGTACCGGAATGATGGCGATTTGGTATACCGTTAGGCGATCCTCTCAAAGGAGGAAAGCAAATCAGAAGGAATTCACAAACCAAATCACCACCATACGAGCAACGTCGGGCGCTCCCTTGTTCTTGAGAAGGCACTGGACGAATCACGCAAGGCCAGTTCGATCCATGGCAAGGAAGGACTCACTTACGTAGAGTCCAGGCTCATAGTTGTCCTCATTCATCCTCTCCAAAGAAAGAATGATCCCCAATCCTTCCAATCATTTTCCCACCTCATGAAAAGAAATCCTCAAGGGAAAGAACGAGCCTATCACGGGAAGAGCGTGTTGTTTTGCACTGATGTCAACACATTCACGGCCGGGGCGACTACAAGCTGTTGCAAATCCCCTTTTACCTCAACACGGTGACCATGCTCTTCCAAAGATCCATCGTCATCGACCCATCAACTCAAACGCAGGCCTATAGAGCCCTGGATGCGTTCCAAGAAGCTTTTCCAGCACACTTGGCTAGTGCAGAGCGATGCGACCACTTGATACAGGCTGGGACTTGAACCCAAAGAGATGATGATGATGCCCCAAGCTGCATTGCCTGACCAAAGAAACCTATTCAATTCATTATTAGCACACACACAATAAACACCCTTTTTATTGTTGTTTCATTGTACTTGCCTTTTCCATATACACAAAGACCCGTTGTTGTTGGTTACTGGAAGCTGAAAACGATGGTGTGGTAGTATAGTTGAGCCGAAACAAAACGCCAAACCAGCCGTCTTGAAACCAAACTTGCCCTCTATACAAGCTGGCGCGTCAATGGAACCAATTCGGCTGCAACATTGGGCTCTGAATGTACCTGTTGACACCAAGCGTAGAGCGGGAATAGCAACGAGCAAAAGGAAGCAACAATATCGCCATGGCAACAACCAACCACCAACCACGCTCATTCCTCAGCACTTGGACACACTCACTCCCTGACAATGCATGTTCATTCAATACCTCACAGCCAACGAGAGCACTTTTTTATAATACATTACCTTGATCGGGATGACATGCATTGGATAAAAGCAGAGGAGGGAGAAAAAGAAGAGAAGCGTTGTCTCAAGTCGTGGAGCTGCTGTCCCCCGAGTTTAAATCCCCTATTGCTATTACACTGAGGCCACTCAATTACCCAATACCCACCATCCACCCAAACACACAACCCACCCATCATCATCAGCACCCTCACGATAGACAATAGGCACGCGTAAATAAAATAAATGATCCTCACGTATAGCAAAAGGGTGTGTGTCATTTTACACTTTACATGATAATGATGATCCTACAACACCCATTGTTGCCATACTACCATGTCACCTCGAATCAAGAAAGATCAATTATGGGAATGATGGGCTGGAGCAGGACAATCGATTGTATGCATTGTATTGGACAACAAAAGGTGAATGGGAGGAATGGGCTATTAGCTGGCAGTTTACAAAAAAACTTTGCAAAATGATGTTTTGTGTTTGAGCGTAACTCAACCAAATCCTCTCGGATCAAGAAAGTTGAATGATGGAAATGATGGGCTGGAGCAGGAGAATCGTTCACATGCATTGGATTGGCAAACAAAGATGATTGGGAGGAATGGGCTATCAAGTTGAGCATTTTTCAGTCAAATCCTCTCGGATCAAGAAACTTGAAAGATGGAGTTGACGTGCTGGTGCAGGAGAATCGTTCACGTGTGGTGGATTGAGCAACAGCAGGGAATGGGAGGAAGATTCTATTAGTTGGCAGTGTTGGGTTAATGCGCTATGTTGCTGCCGTGGGCATTGTTCCAGGCCAGCTTATTAAAGAGGTAGTGTCTTATTGTAATATGGAAGGTAAAGAATTACATGTTCTTGTAAATATGAATACTACGAGATTGTATATTCCTTTACCAATCACCTGCTCACCCATATTGCAAATCTCACACAACAATATTACCTACAAAGCTGACATGTAGTAGGATGATTGTTAGGATGGTGTGCTAGACCATAGTAGTAGTCCTTGCTTTTTCAATGGATCACAGCTACTCTTTATTATTCGATTACTGTATCAGGTACATTGTGCGATATTGCATGGTTATACAAGGGGGATAAATCATGATGCAGGTGCAGCGTTAAGTCTTGTATGCGAAGGCGTCCTGATTAAGGATGACAAGCTATGAGGATGGCACTAGCCTATGGCACGCGATAAACACTTTACATTTCAAAAGAAGAAGAAAGCCATTTGCAAGAAAAAGAAAAAAAAGAACATGATGGATATTTATTACAGGATGTTGTTTTAGATCATGAGATCATTGATGTCTTTCTGGACAAAGAGCTCGGTACCCTTTGATGGGATGCCATCGCAAATGACATAAAGGAAACCTGATCCAGGAGGGAAGATGTTTGCATTTGGAGGAGCTTCGACGGTGACAGTTTGCAAATCATCCGAGATGGTGTGCTTGAGGTAGACATAACGTTGTGACATATGCATTGAATGGGTGCTGAAACCAGGACGCAAGTAGCCAACCTTGATTTCAGGTTCACTACCGGGCTTGACGAGATCACCAAGATTAAGTAAGATATCGAATGATTGGCCATATTCAACGACACGTGGTACATGTGAAATGAGAGGGCGAGTGTTGCTCTTGAACAAGTAAGGTGGCGAGTAATATTCGACACGGAATTCAGTGGGGTATTCAGCAAGGATGTCAGGTGGTGAAACGTTGTTGGAACCTGCAATCCATACACGGCCATCGGGTAAGGTCAATGCGACCGAATGATACATGCGTGCGATATCAGTATCAGCCAAACCCTGCATCCAGCGGTCACCAAGCTTCTTGTCGGGTTGATAGATGAGTGGATCAAAAGTGGGATCATGATTGCGGCCATTATAACCAGCCCAGCCACGTTGGCAACCATTCACCCAAAAGACGTTTCCATCGGGAAGAATGACACCATCAGGCATCAAACGCTTGTGTACAAAAGTATCCATTTCCCATTTGGGTTCTTCGTCGCCAAGGTTGATACGTCCACAAGTATCATCAGCAACAGCGTTGTTCTTCATGCGATCTGAACCACCACAGATAAGGATTTCAACATTGTAATCGTTTGCAGGATCGAGAGGAAGCATCACAGCACCACCAGTGAGGGGGTATGAACGTGCAACACCGGGGATGTCAGGAAGTCTCTTTACAATCTCGTGCTTTTTATAGTCGTAAATGATGGATTGCTTGTTGGCGAAGATGAAGAGGTTGCCATCTGGTAGTACAAATACAAATGGATATCTATGAGCGATGTTAGTCATCTCATGGTGATTTGAATGATGCTGTTAATCTTTCACTTACAAATTATAAGGCATGGTCTCGTTCAAGAAAGGGAAATCAAAGGAACCCTCGGGTTTAGGTGGCCAAAATTCATAGGATGGTACATTGATCTCATCACGATTGACAGCGGCGCCCTTTGTAGATCCACCAAGGATGAAAATGTCACCTTCAGGTAATGTTTCCACAGTGGGATACCATCGATTGAACTCCATGCGTCCAGTAGAAAACTCAGACCACTCGCAAGTATCATTCATACATGGATTATAGTGTCGAATTGATTGCCATCCAGGGTCTGCTTTCCATGTACGACCAACACGTTCACCGCCACCAGTGCTGATAAATGTGCCGTTTCCAAGGAAACTACCACCGGAGCAGAATGTGTTGGTGTCAAGGTGTAACATGCGGTATTCGTCGGTGTCGAGATCGTATTCGACTGAAAATGCACTTTGGCCAGTGTCAAATTGTGCCTCGTTCCATTCGGCTATAAACACCCCCCCAAACGTCAGTAATCATTGATATGTATAACTTTGTATCTATGAATTACCTTTATCGATAACGAGAATCTTCTTTTCACTATGTTTGTTGTCAATGAGTGATTCATGCTTAAATAAACATTCATTCTTTGATAGCTTACTTTAGCAAAACGGCATGCATAGCAGCAACACCAGTGCGACCGATTTGTTCCATTTTGCCGGTCTTTGCATATTGAGAGACGAATTGCTGTGATTGAGACCAATGGAAGGGTGAAGTGTTCTCCTGGGCCTGAATTGCCGCTACCAAGAAGGGAGCAATAGCGAGCCAATGAAGTGATCTCATTGTTGGTTGGTGGGGTTGGTTGTCGATGTAGAGATCACAGAGAGGTCGTTTTGTTCGTCAAGTGAAAAGGAACGAGTCGAGGTGGAACAAGAGGGATAATTTATATGAAGAAAGAATATAAAGAAAGGCGAGATGTGTGGAGTGGTGTGATTTTTCGTTTCCATTTACTACGCCCGCCCTGGGAGACACACATCCAACAAGACCACTTATTTTTAGATACTTGCTGTGCTTAGCCCATATCACTCATCCATGATATCAACAAGGGCGCAGCTTCCTCTTATTCAATTACCCATATGTACCAAAACGAACGATTATGGATCTCTATGTGTTACTGGTCCTGGTGAATGTATACATACAATCAATGCCCTTTGTTTTTGTTTCCTTTCCAAGGAGTAAGCTGCTTCCAAATTAAGATCAGGTTTGGCAAATCAACACGCCAGTTTTTTCATCTTTTGTCATGTTCCCCCCGCATACAACGCTGTTGCATGATTAGCCTATAAAGCTCATGCATGAATCATCAACAAGATACGATATCAGCTTACTGGATTTTGACATTGGATATGAAACCTACTACTACCACTACTACTGCTATACATAAAACTTGGTGGAAGACAAAAATTAAAAAGACGACAATTCCACTATTAGAAACTTGGTCTCGACAAGCCCTTCCCCCCGATGACTCAAAATCATCGGATGGCATCATTCATTCTATACATAAAACCCTTGTTTCAACCCATAGGTGACACTTGCACATGACACATAAAGCAAGAAAGAGTGTTCTTCCTCCTTTTGAGTGATGGAATAATATCGGATGACCAAGAGATATATAAAGCATCATCACCCACAACCCAAAGATCAGGATTTGGTCGATAGGATTTCCGACCCACTGCCGAATCATTGATCCGAATATGTACTGGTCCTATTTGCTCATGCTTAGAGGATGTGCCGCGGTGATGCTGTTACATTCTTCAAAGCACAGCTTTTGGAATGGTGTACAGTCATCAAGTTGTGTGTTACCCCACTACTATTAATTCTATATGATCAGGTCAACCAATCTTTGTTTATTGCTGGATATGATTCCAACGTGGTCTAGAGTAATGATAATGATAATGATACAGTGATATAAGGATGTGAGAGATAATACAACATGTTTTATTGGGCTCGGGACAAGATGTTCCACTTTTCCCCTTGTCTCTCTGTGAATGGGATTGTGTGTGTGAGTGTGAGTGTGTGTATAGGGACGTGTGTGTGTTGTGTGTGAGAGTTGTGCGATCAATAACGTAAATCAACCTCATGCATATCTTCTTCACGAACTCGTGCCAAAGAGGGTGGTTGAGACGCGGCCGAGCGCGTCGAAGAATTGGAAGGATGACGACCCAAAGCAGCTACCTGAGGATCTTCAATAGCTCCATGACCGGCACCAACAGCCATACCAGCTGGTTCTTGTTGTGATGTTGTTGATCGTCCTTGTGAACGCATACTACGCATACTACGCAATGATGTAGAACGTGGCAATTTGGCTACCACCGATGCAACAACACCCATGAAGCTCTGTGGACGCCAACGTGTATCAGGACCAGGCTCATCCGAGTATTCATTGGAAGAGGACGCAGCAGCATTGTTGCGACGACGTTTGTTGGCCACCAATAAACCTGCAAGACCAATAGCAGCGACACAGCCAATACCTACACCAAGACCGATACCAAGCGATTTGTTGGCCATGCTACCTTGTACAGCTTGTGTTTCACTAACACGGTTTGTTGGACTGTTGGTGGATTGATCCGAATTGTCGGGTTGACCATTGTTGTCAGCGGATGGAGCATTGTTGGCGTCATTGTCAGTAGAGGATGATGCACCATTGTCGTCGCCATTGGCACCATTATCAGCTGAACCATCAACATCATCACCGCCATCGATATCGCCATTGCTGGTATCATCGCCAGTGGTATCATTGTTACTACTGCCATCAGAAGAAGAAGCAGCACCAGAGTCACCATTGGTAGCATCACCAGAAGTGGTGCCATCTGAATTCGTGTCACTGTCGCCATCACCACCATCGCCATTCGTAGCGCTTCCATCGGTAGAGCTGCCATCGCCATTCGAAGCTGAATTGGGATCTTCGATAGAGCCTGTAGGAGATGACGTTGCTCCAGTCTCGGTGAATGCACTTATATCGTCGTCATCGCTACTCGTTGTCGTTGGGGAAGAGGCAGGCGAACGATCAGCACTGCCATGCTTCTTGTCATCGTCGTGGTCGTGGTGCGATGAAGATGAGCCATGGTGTGAGGTAGGTGTGGGTGACTTTGTCGAGTGAGAAGAGGTTTTAGTTGCTGTTTTATGCTTTGTTGTTGTAGTCGTTGTTGTTGTTTTATGTTTGCTATGGCTACCATGGTTTCCTCCTCCTGCCGCTGCTGCTCCTGACGATGGCGTTGGAGTTGCATCAGCCGGAACAAAGACGACAGTGGGCGTGCACGTTACTTGTTTGTGGACATACTCGGTGTGGTGAACATGATCGGTTACTGTTTTCGTCGCACAAGCCAAGGTTGTAGCTTTGTGACCTGATGCACTCGATGTCGTTGTTGATTCTTTACGTGCAAAAAGGAAACGGAAAGCGTTGGATTCTGTAAATGTACATTAGAATACCTTGATGTCGATAATAAATGTCGTTGTTGTGATTCACTTACGGGTAGCATCATCTTGTACGGCATCAGCAGCCACTAGAATAGCACACAATTGGATGAATATTTATTATTGCAGTATTTAGACTTTGATAAATGTCCCGACTTACCAAGTGAGATCCGAGCAATGATCGCAACAAATAACAGAAATAAAGACTGACTCGATAGGCGCATCAAAAAAACGCATCAAAAAAAGAAAGGAAAAAAGTCGGTATAAAGGAAGGGACGGGGATGTATGTAGGTGTGAGTGTGAGTGTGAGCGAGTGCTGTGTGTGCGTACGAAGGGAAGGAGAGAAAGAAAGAAGGGAAAAAAAGAGAGGAAGAGAACGAGGGAACGAGAACAAGAAAAGGAAGAGGAAAACGGGTAATTCAACTCAAGGGGGAAAAAGTGGAGTGGAATCTTTCATGTTCTGTACGACATTGTATCCCTTCCCTCTAATTATAGTGATCGCACGCTTGTAAAAATTAGTGTATTTGTACGCAGGTAACATCCTGCTTAACCAACAACCACATATTCCTTATGTTCTGTTGTTCGAAATGTTGATGTTTGAAAAGCAAAAGGGGGTCAAAACATCAAGAAACAAAGGTAGAAATTATTATCGTGTATATTTGAATGTCTGTGTGTGTGTGCTACCAGTCAACCAGTGGATTGCCGCCTAATGCAAGCACCTCACTTTCACAAAAATGGTGGTGCTGCACACGCACAGCTGTCAAATTAGCCTCGTCATCTTCTCCTTGTTCTCGGAGCGATAAAAGAAAGTTTTCAACTTGCGAAATCATCCACAATTTGACGGGTAAACATCATCATCATTATCATCATCTTTTAGGAAAACGCGTTTGATTGTTTGCTATAGTAATATCAAAGGTCTAGGTCGTTCAGTGAGGGTAGTACGCTTGCAAATGCGTCGGTGTGTAAGGAAGATCCACTCAGCCCAGGCGTACCTGTTATAGCATTCTTTCTCAGTAGATGTGGATCCAGGAACAAACTGGGAAAGGTCTCAATTTTCTAGCTACGTCTACTCGTCATGCGAGAACAAGTTTTTTTTTCATTAAACGAGACCCTGTCTCCGCTCTTGTTGCGGCACATTGCTCTCCAACACCGGTATCGATGCCGATGATGTGCGTACAACCACAATCATCTATCTCAATTTTACGATCTACGCCTTACATCTTATCCAAACCACGTGTATCTATTACTCATCATCCTTACTTTCTTGACATTCCTCATTGACTTATTATGTAACAGGTCGAACAAGCGCATAATCAGGTCCACTGGATGATGATGAAAATCATGGCGTGATTATAATAAGCACAATGTGCGTCAACATGGTCATTGTTGGAATGAAGAAAAGATGCTCTTTATTGTCCAAAGTAACCAATCCCCATTGTCTTTTATCCTTTGGTTGTGTGTGTATGCGTGTGTGCGTGTATATTAGATCCTGGCACAACAACGTTGCACGACATTGAACGATCAATTACCCTTGAGTACTTTCTATCCCACTTGTAATGATTGCGCTAAAGTATAGAAGCAACAACAAATCGACTCGATTGAAAGTTGTCACAACCTGTAATAGATGGCAAGGAGGTATCTTTCATTGTGGTTGTTGATATTAACATGCATGACACGTGCGGACCAAATAACCTTGTCGGTGTAGAAAATGATGATATGTGTTCTTTGTTGGGTATATCCCGCTTCTTTTGAGTACAAAGAAAAAAGAGACGCTATGTAAAAAATGAACTAAAGAGTAAGATAAGAATATTGAGTATCCCGCCGCACAAGATGGAACAACCGGAGAGTGGAGAAAGCGAAGGGTAAAAGAGAAAGAGAGAGAGAGAGGAAGAGAGAGAGAGAGAGGAAAAGAGAAAGAGAAGGGAAAAAGGAAGGAGATGGCTAAAAAGTAAGGAGTGGGCAGGGAAGAAGAACAAAAAAAAAATAGAAATGGTGAGCGTGTGTAAATGTGATATGTGGTGTATGTGTGTGTGAGTGTGTGTGATTGTTGTTGCGTTGGTTGAACATGGTGTGTGAGTGAGAGTCTGTATATACGAGAGGATGGATGACGATCTTAAAACAATCCACAGCAAGAAGACGATTGAGCAGGAGGATCTTCGACATGGATGGGAGGCTGTCTGTTCCTATTGGCAGGTAGACTATATTGCTTGCGATCCACCAGCACTCGTGTCAAGTCCAAAAAGATATCTTCAATGGTTCCTGATAACAAGAAAATGAATATCCCTCCTTTTCCTTATATGATCTACCTCCTCCCTTCCAATCTCACTTACCATCATCCTCCTTAGCCGATACTTCGTACAGCGGGGTCTCAGGACCAAGTACACGCGTGACATATTCCCGTGCCTGATCTTCTGGTACTTCTCTACGTGATGCAAGATCCAACTTGTTTGCCACCACAATGATCACCAATTCGTCAGTCATATTTCTCTTGAGCTCTATGTTAAACCAAACCCACGTCTCGATAAGTCTTTTATGCAAAATGATGTCTCATTGTTCCCATACCTTCAATCCATGAATGTAATTCAACAAAACTTTCTTGAGATGTGATATCATACACCAACAAAGCGGCCTGTGCACCTCGATAATACATTGGAGCCATAGCCCGGAAACGTTCTATCATTTGCGTCCAGTGAAACAAAGAAGGAACGCGTTGTTTGTCATTCATCCACTTCCAACTTGACATTTGTATAGATATACATACCTTGTCCAGCTGTATCCCAGATCTGTAACCGTACTTTGCAATTGTCTACGTTACTGCAAGCAGTAAATGGTGAGGTTAGAAACGGTGTTGTAGCATTCTCCAGCACATGAATAAAAGGGATGGACTTACAGCTTCTTGGTCATGAATGAGGCTCCAATGGTGGATGTTGAGTTGGGTGAAAAGGTCTTTGATATATAACGAACAACGAGAGAGGTCTTGCCAACACCTAAACAAGGGAGTCCATTTCAGCCATTGCAAGTGGGGAAAGCGACAATGTCAGTGTTGGTAGAGTTACCTTGGCTGCCTAGGATAACGACCTTGGCTTCTATTGTTGATGCCCATGATCCATACATTGTTCAGTGGCAAGAGGAGAGAGATGGCGGGAGACGCTTTTGGGGGGTGAAAGGAGGAAAAGAAGAAGAAAGATAAAACTGTGTTGCGGTATTCCCTTTCTTCCCTGTTTTGCATGACAGCGAAATAGCCCTAACAACGACCCGTTGCCAATGACTCACATGTATAATACTACTGCTGCTACGGATATTATAAAGTTGATATGTATATACTTTAATGGGACACATGGATTGTTTTTCTTTGTCTCTCTCCTTTGATAAGATACTACTGTATTATTAGGGTGATGATACTAATACGGTGAAGGTGGGTGGATGAGTGAGTCATGGGAATGAACATTGGCTGAAAAAGGAGAAAAGGGAGCTTCAAGTCTTGATCTCTTGTGAGGAGGATGCCATGGCTTGTTGCTCTTGCTCTTTTCGTTGCCTATATCGCAATACAACAGGACTTGGGGTACTGATACGCCAAGAGTGTTCGCCTTGTTTCAATCCTGCGCGCAGCTCTCGCAGCACATGCTCGAAACCATCATCATCTGGTTTATGCAAACCACTTGGCGATGTGAGATTAAATGATCTTGGTGTCAAAGGCGATTGTTGATGAGGATCTCCAGCACTGCTAACACTGCTCAATGATGTTGATCGAGAAAGTGACGATGATGCAAATGTGGATTGACTATCGCGACTGGAGCAAGAGGAGGAAACATGTGGTCTACGCTTGAGCTGTTGTGTAAATACGCACAACATGTAACACGTGAGCACAAGATTTGATAATATGCACATAACCTTCCCCCAAAAAATAAGTTTAATAAATAAAAGAAATAACCCACCTGCATCTCTTGTTGCTTTTGTCTTCGTAACGCGCGTTCCCGAGCTTCGTGAATCTCCACTTGTGCTTTCTATTACATCATGTACCCATCAATGCTTGCTTCTTTAACCTATCACAACAATAACAATACATACCGCAAATGATGCCGAGAATGATTGGATGATGTCAAAGAACTCCTCAGATTTGATGGTTGCAGGGTCCTCGCCATAATAAGTGATAAGATCTTTAAGCTTGTCATCAATGTCCCGTGTCATTTGTTTAAGATTGTCGACAATGGGTTCCGCTTCAATCAAGAATTCATCCATTGCTTCGGCAAACCGATCAATTTGGTGCACTGATGTACGCCGACGTCGATGCAGACTCAGCTCTTCCTTGATGTGGGAAATGTTTGCATTCAGTGCATTGACAGATGCAAAAATGATGGGCGGTGACACTGCATCCATCCAATCCCAATTAGCAACTTGCAGCATGAGCGACATAAATAGGTCAAGTGCCACTTACTTTTTGCGGCTTGCTCCAAATGAACAATATCTTCACGAAAGTTGACTACTTCATCCCCACTCTTGGCCAAAAAGTGGACCAGGTAATGCAACAAGGTAGGCATGTTGCTCACACCTTCACCTTCGGCACGGGTATCTCGCATCTTGAGTAAAGCATCCAATCGAAAACCATAAGCATTGCCACGAATCGTTTGCCCATTCAAATAGTTGCCAATAGCGAGCACAGTCTAAGATCATAGGTGTGAGGAGGAGTGAGACCCCACATCAATAGGATGAATAACATACCTTTAGCACTTGTTTGAAGCGGGTGCTCTCTTTAAGTTCACAGATGGCATCTTGCAGTACGTCCAATTGCTTAAAGACAACGTTTAAGTTTATACATGCATATAGCTAAAAACAGCCCCCTCCCCCCTCCTTGTTGAGAAGGAAAATCCCCATCTTACCGGAATGATTTCTTCCAATTCTTGCTTGAAGCGTCGTCTGAAAATCATGCAGCTGACACGATCTGCCAGTCGGGGAATATACATAATCTGCATATTTAGTGGTATTCAGGTCCAGATTAGAAACATGGCCAATTTAAACAAGATTCAGGTACAATGCTTTGCTTACCGCACGGAAATAACGCTCTGCGTCTCCCAATGCATCCACATCACCCTCGAAATCCTTGACAATCTCAATCTATATTTATAAATAAAGTTAATCCATCGATCCATCTTGTGTAGTAGCAGGTGATTAGTATACCTCTTCCTTGTTGGGGATGTATTGGCGGATGGCCATCAAATTGTCGACCGATAACCGATGATCATCAATGTTCCAAATAGCGTCACGGATTTCAGGGTAGGTCAACTTGATCCTTGCCAACATGATGGCTACATCATAAAAAGTAATGGCTTATAAGCATCGTACATAGGCATAACCAATCATACCCTTACCAATGTTGTTGGCACGATTGAATTCGAGCAATGTGATAGCCTTGCGCTTTGTTTCCACAGGATTGGGTGCATTGGTTGCATTGTTACCGGTTGCTATGTTCATTCATCAATGATGCCATCCACGTTCATTGTTGATGTTACACACTCACACTCACACCCACACACACTTACCTTTTCGAGACTTTTTAAACAATCGTTCCAATTCACCTGTATCCAATTGCACATTGTTTTCGGATGGACGCTTCGATCGTTGTGGTGCAGCTGACCATTCACCATCCTCCTCCTCGGTTTCACTACAGCTGCTCATCAAAGGGGAATCCAGTGCATTGTTGAAATCAGGCGAGTGAATCTCATTCCACACCGTATGTTGAATACGTTCGGCGGGTAGTTTGGACCAAAAGAACTGCTTCATGGTGATTTGGTGTGGTTTGGCCCAAGCGTCAATAAGTCCGTTGCTGCTGAAATTACATGAGGATGTTGGTGATGTTGGTGATGTTGTGGATACGCTATTCTCCTGCAAAGATTTGAGAGATGTAAAGCACAAATTGAGAGCCAAAGGATGAAGATACTTGGATGCACGTGCACTTTGACGTCGATTTGTAGGGTTGGGTCTTCGCACTGCTGTTTGGGGAAGACACATTTGTTGTTGCTGAAATGACATTGGTGGCGGTGGTGGAGGTGGAGG